TCCTGTGATTGTTTTGGACAAATCGAGCAGCTCTTACAGATCTGAAGTGAGAGATGGGATGTGTGAGGGAAGGAGTCATTTCCCGCGAGTCAAATGTCGATTGTCTCCATCACACAGCTGACGACACATTTAAAGATAAATACCAAATGATGAACCCAGCTGTCCGCTGTTGAGCACACCTCATCTCAGATCTCTGCATATTTGGTCAGAGTGCATCTGGGATGTTATACAAATGCTTTAAAGTGAAACAATAATTAAATATTACTTAGAGGAAGAAAAAAAAAAATTCCAAATGCACCTTTTGTTGTATGAACACAACATCATTGGCTACACATGTAGAGATGTATCATACTCATCCTATTTCAACACGGTCACTCACAACAACATCATGATTTTGTTGATGGATAAGTGTAAATTTTTCAATAGTTCACACACAGCAAAACTTCACCATTGTACCTGGATGTAGTAGCTTTCCTGTTTTCACCGCTTTGTGGTGTTGTTGAAAGATGTTGCGGTTTGTCTAAATATGTTGCGTGTTAGAGGAAGCATAAGTATGTGCCTTCTTGTAATCTCCTTGGTGAGCTTGTTATTATTGAGAAGCTGAAGCCAGCCAATTGTGTTTGCACTAAAACCAAATTGCTTTTGTGATGTAGACTATTTAAGCAAGCTTGTTGCGTCACTTTAACCGTACAGTATGCATGAGGGTGAAATTGGTGAGTCTAGGGCTAGAGCTCTCATCTGTTGACCAGTGCAGCTTAGAGGATCTTGTGAATATATCTTGGCTTAGTTTCGCGTTCAGTTTTCAGTTCCATTTCCTTACTCATCAAGTTTGTCACAACTTAAACAACTAAAATAAAATTAATAAATAAATAAAAATAGAAAAAAAAGCAAATAACACATACCATGAATACAACACAGCTTTTACTTTCACATACCACAGTTGAGTCACAACAGCAGCAGCAGAGATATTCGTGTCTCTGAATCCATGGGAATGCATGAGTATGAGGTCGCCTCAAGACTATTGGTCAAAGTAACTTAGGTTGTTTTTGAAAATTTCTATTTATTACATATTTCGTTGACATCTGAGAAAGGCCTACATGCTTTGAGTCTTACAAATGCACCTTATTCATGTCAGTCCATGTGGGGAAAAAAAGGCTGGCAGTTGTAATATCTCTGATTTAGCACCTTACTACATAGCATGTTTTCACTCTATGCCAGTTTAGCTATTCTTCCATATGTATGATTTCAAAAAAACAAAACAAAACAAAAAAAAATCTCATATTTTGTGAAATTGTTTCCTGGGATGTGCCAAAGTTTGGAGGCGATCTCTCAAGTGTTTATGCTTATCATTTTCTTTTCCTCCTTCAGTTATAGCAATGGTATGTCAAAACTTTCCTATAACAGTGTGTGGAATCAATTTATCTCAGCAAACAGTATCATTACTTGCCATTTTACAATAAGCCCTGTATTTCACATATATTTACCAGTGATGTGTATTTGTTATTATAAAGAAAATAGCCGTAAAAGCTTCATTATGTTACATAATATTGTGACTTTTTTCGAAAAACTGTGAAGACTTATCTTGCATATACTTTATACAGAAGTATTAAGCCTTAATACAAAAGACTAAAAAAAGTGTGGAAGAATAAAACTGATTGTTGCTAAGTAAGGATGATTTTTGTAAATGTTACCAGCACTTTTTTTGTAATTTTCACTCTCTGAGGTATTGTACAAGTTCAAGCTGTTTGTGAAGTTTGATTATGAAGGAATAAAAACTAGTACTTTCCTGTACTTCACAGAAAGTCTTGTTGCTCTTTTATTTATCTGCTCTTTTTCCTGATAGTTTTGTGGATTATCTCATGGATAAACTGCCCAGAGATATACACAAACAAACAAAAAACTAGGTTTATGCAGTAAGGCTTATACACACACACCATTTCACATGACTACACTGCCAAGCACTACCAACGGATATCTAAGGATTCCATAAAAAGAGATAGATAAATAAAAGTTATTCTTGGAGTTAATTTAATCAAATAAATGAGATGCATTAGTGAGCCCACAAACAATATTACCCTGTTGTGCTGTGGTGTGTGTTGATTCCAAATACAGTTGGAAGTGATCCTGAACAACGAGCTGGATTGCATCCCAGAATGCACTGGGCAGAGGACAGGAAACACCGTGGACAAGCTGCCAGTCGGTTACAAATCTAACAGTGATTGATAAACAATGGCAGTCATTCTTCACTTCACACCTACAGGCAGCTCTAGTGCGCAGTCCACTTGACTCACAGAGAAAGCAACCAACATGTTAACTCCGCACAGAAAAGATTTTCCAGGAACCAAAGCCTGAGTCTGTCCTGCTGTGAGGTGTCTGTTTTAACCCCTGAGCCGCTGTGTAGAACGACGCACAGCTGTGTACCGGCCAAACAAGCCAAAGCAACTGGCACTCACTGATTATCTTACTGCACACGTGATCATTACAAGCAGAACGCCATAAATATTAGCCTTCTTTGATGCCCAGATTAAGACTGTGTGTTGCAAGATTAAGCATTTAATGAGTGTTAAACTGCACTTTTATTCCTGCAAATAAAACAATGATTGTCATCATTACAAAAAGAAATAAAATGAAAATGTACTTCAATAAAACTAATCATCCATACAGTAATTCAAGTCATGGTGATTTCCACTTTTAATACCCTCCTCTACTACAATTAAATTAATATCCAAATTTCAATTTCATCAAGGCTTACCACTGTCAGTTTTGTATTTGATTTTTAATATTAAATTGTGATACAGACTGTGTTAATGTTACAGTTGTGGTTCCTTGTACTTAGGTTGTAATCTGGTAAACACATTAGAGAACACACAAGGGGTCAGAAATAAGATCAAGGAGATGTTCTTTATTCTTTCCTAATGCTGGATTCAGGCTTTGTTGAAATACTGAAAGATTTCTTTGGCGGAATGAATTTGCAGAATGACCATGTCAGAAGAAGAGGGACAGTTCCACTTTTACGTATTTTACTCTGAGCTGTTTCATTTTTCTTAACTTTCATGTTAATGTATTATAGCAAAAAACACATTGTCACCATTAGTGAAAAATGGAGAAAGAAAATGCAGTGTGGCTTCCTATAAAAATTATAGTCTGCAATGCACAAATGAACAAAAAACTGTATAGTTAATTAACAATCGTTAGTGTACTAGGCTATTACTTTGTACAAGATAACAGAGGGGGGGACAGCACAATGGAAATTACAATAGTCTATTACAGTACACCAAAAAAGGCAGCAGTTACAGTATTTAAGATGGTGCTGTGTTCACATTTTGTACAAACAGGACACTGTCACCTAATACTTTGTCATGTTCTTAAGCTTGTTTGAGCTTTAGACACTCCTCACTGAGAAACACGTGCACGCGCAGAGTACAGGTCCCGGCTAGTTTTACACTTGTTTAGCGCTGGCGCCCCCTGCTGCCAGTCTTCAGTATCACCTCATCTGAAACCATGAAGTCGTGGAGCTCAAAACCACTAGTGTTTCTTGGTGGTTTTTTGTTTGTTTTTGCTGCACTACAGATCGTGTGTGGTTGAAAGAAGTGTACTGTTTTTACCTGCAAGTTCTTCTTCTTCTTGTAGGGGTACCAGCAGTAAGTAGCAAGTCATCTAGTCACTTTCACTAACTCATCGGTGTTAGTAACAGCTTGTGTTCATATTTATTCCAACATGTTAACTAAGGGTAGGCAGCATAACAGTTCGGTGGTTGTTGCCTCACAGCAAGAAGGTTCAGGCTTCAATTCCCAGCTGACCCGGGGCATGTCTGTATGGAGATTGCATGTTCTCCCTGTGAGGGTTCTCTCCAGGTACTCTTGTCTTCCTCCCACAGTCTAAAGACATGCAGCTTAGGTTGACTGGTGATTTTAAATTGCCCGTAGGAGCGAATCTACATGTCAGCCCTGTGATAGACCTGTCCAGGGTGTACCCTGCCTCTCGCCCAATGGCAGCTGGGATTGGCTCTATCCCCCCCATGACTCTATTCAGGGATAAGTGGTATACATAATGGGAGGATGGATGTTAACTGAGGACACACAATGAAGTTCATCCACGCACTTTAGTGCCAAATTTCTTTTTATTTAATATCTAATGGTGACTGCTGATAAAATGAAAACTCCCAGAAAATTGACTTGACAATATTCATAGTCTAAATATATAAAAAAATAATTTTTTTAAAAATGGTCAAACATTTGCTGGTTCCAGCTTTTCAAATGTGTGACTTAATACTCTTCTTGAAAATCAAACATCCTTTGGGTTGGACCTGCTCATTGGGCAAAACACATCTGAAGATGATGCCCCAGGCTCTGGCAAATCATGACAGTCACTTCTCATCCTTTTAAGATATTTTTATAGAAAAAAAAAAACCCTTATCAAGAAATTCTGCAGATTTTAAAAAGTTAGTTGCAGCAATAATCTAAACAGATTTTCATGCACACCTGAGAGAAACACTTGTTATAGTGTCCATAAATGTATTGCTATTCAGAGGCACTGACATTTCCATTGTGACATTTTTCTCCATTAAAATGCAGATTTTAGGGCAATATTCATTTACAAATGTTGTAACCCACTGCTCAGACTTTTATGATGTGCCTTCATGTCACCAAAACATACAAATATTTCACAACCATGTTACCAAGAACTAGTCTACATCTCCCTGTTGTTTGTGATGCGGCAACTACAAAAACTCAATGCAGTCATAAATGTTTATCAATACAAATGTAACCAACATGACATCCATGTCTAGTACCATCTTTACCAGTATCCTGGCAATCAATTTTCAAAGGAGGTAAGACTCAGGTGTTCTACTCTACAGTCCTAGAAGCCACCAGTCAAACCAGTAAGGCTCAGGGAGAGATAAGTAAGAGTAAATATAGCAGTCGGGTGTAACCCACTTCATTATACAGTGAGTGCTCATCACATGCTACGACAGTGGAGGAGACAGTTGACATCAGTAGTTTAGTTGTTCCCCAGAATAAATTTATTCAAGTTGGGACCATACATACCTAGTGAATGACAGGAAGAGGTATCAGATTTCTCACAGGAATGCACAGGAATGACATTGGTAAAGAGGGCGTGGAACGTTTAAAAATCATAAAAGATGCACAACATACAGTCATCACCCACAGAAAGTGGCGACACTATAGTTTGTTCCCATAAATAAGGCAGAATGTAGAGTCCATAGAAATGGAACGTTATCTTTTAGCCATATTGGACAGTGATGTGACAATATGATGAATTAGATGTATTTTTTCATCTCATCGTACAACACCAGCACAAAGGCACCGCCCATGCCTCTGAGTACGTTGGACAAGGCTCCCTTGAAGAAAGCCTTGCCACCCTCATCGCGTAAAATCTTACGCCAGCAGTCAATGGTCCCACTGTACATGATGTCAGCTGAAGAAGTTAAGAAAAGAGTCAATTTAGAAATGCATTTTAAAACAGAGGCATCAGAAAAGTGGCTCAGTTCTTAGTCTAGTTTGCATCTAGTACATCAACTGTATATTTATGTGACCATACATGTTAGTAATGCTTGCTCATCTGTAAACTGGACTGCACAAGCTTCCATTAATACAAATATTCACCTGCTTTACGTCCAGACTGCATCATCATACGTCTACGGACAGTGTCGAAGGGGTATGAGGTCAGGCCAGCAACCGATGTCACAACCTGTGCAATCATCCAGCTCACCAAAATGTGAGTGTTCTTGGGGTCTGGAAGCATACCTGTAAACACAGGAAGACAGAAGTTACAGATTTAGAGGACAAGATCGCTCTCGTGAGAGGTTCAATTACATGTCAGTGTAGAATCAACGTACTCTTAGCTGTGTCATAGATGCCGAAGTATGCAGCCCTGTAAATGATGATGCCCTGCACAGACACATTGAAGCCCTGGTACAAGCCTTTCAGACCATCAGACCTGAAGATCTTCACTAGGCAGTTTGCCAGACCACTGAACTCCCTTTCAGCTTCAGCCTTTCCCACATCAGCAGCCAGACGGGTACGGGCAAAGTCGAGGGGGTACACAAAACACAGGGAGGTGGCTCCAGCGGCGCCACCAGATGCCAGGTTACCAGCAAAGTACCTCCAGAACTGGGTGCGTTTGTCAACACCATCAAGGAAGATCTTCTTGTACTTGTCCTTGAAGGCGAAGTTGAGGGCTTGGGTGGGGAAATATCTGATGACATTGGCAAGGTTACCTCTCCAGAAGGAAAGGGCACCCTGCTCCTTGGGGATACGAACAACACAGTCGATGATACCCTTGTAGTGCTTATCTGCTGTCATCTGCTTACTGGCATGCTGGACCTGGAATAATGAAAGAGAAAGAAAAGTTAACTTTAAAACAGGGAAATCTGGTTGATTTTTGAACATATGACAATCACAAGGTCTCTTTTGACCTTTGTGCATGTTAAACCAAGATGCAGCAAAGGGTCCTGGCAATTGCGACTGAACAGACTTATCAGTGATTTACTAGCAATGAAATTGTGATGGCTTCTACACAAAATTTTTAAATCTATCAAACATCTAGTCCAAGAAATTAAACGTCCTCCAACATTTACACCGAAACATATAAAGTCCGGCAGGTGTCGGCACAAAAGTGTGTTGTTGTGCAGGTTCACTAGAAAACGGTGTAAAACCTGCTAACCCGGCTGTGAATGACTGGGGCCGGGCCTTAGTATTTCACAGCCACCTCACTACCGGTACGCTAACATCAAGTGACACATTAGCTACTAAACATTTTTGCCTTCAGTTACAGCAAAAATATAATCGACGTATTGTCACCTTGTAACTGCCTATAAGACACCGAAGTAATAAATAAACTTGGGAACTTCACGTGTACTTGTACAAAGTGTTCCGGTGTTTGTCCTTTGTTAGCTACGCCGGCTAAGGTTAACGGGGGAAGCTAACATTAGCAGCCAGATTCGGGTAGGTCATTTCCCTTCCTTGAACATATCCCATCCTTTCACTCTCAAGACTCCCACTGGTTCTACAATAATACACCGTGCTACCGAGTTATGTTAAAACGCAAGCCTGTGTGAGGACAACCGTTAAGAGACAGGTACAGTCGCAGCAGCTACCCGGATAACATTGTGAGCCTTCCGGAAGGCAGAATTTTACCTGAAGCAGAAGCTTCACTCTCTCGATTGGGGCGACAGCTGTTTTGGAGATAGCAGCGGAGATGCCACCGGCCAAAAAATCCTTGGCGAAAGAAATAGCCTGTTCGGTCATGGTGCGATGTTCTTGATGTGATTTTCAGGTAAGCACTACAAATGATATACTTCTACAGTGGCTGGCCTGCACCGACGAAATGGCCGATTGTATAGCCGCGTTGCGAATTTATGTAACACAATGGGTCGCGAGATAACACGGGAACTGCTGTTTCAGGCTTCAGGCTTTTGCCTGCCATTGGTCAATTAGTAAACGTCACGTAATTCTCCGCCAATGAAACTGTCTAAGTAGTGATGTCGTCACTCATATCATTCGACGTGCCTAGAGTAAATCCTTACGTTACACAATACTCGCGAAGCAGTTTATTAAAAAAACCGTAATGACTCACGTTATGGGCTCGTTCATAGTTTGTTTCTATGTCAGAGCCACACCCGGAGACCAATGAAAACAGTGACTTGGAAGTTACAGATTTGTGTTCTGAATCCAGAACCACCGGTTTGTCTACAAAGAGGCTATTAACATATTGCCTAGTATAAAACAACTATAACGACCGTAAAAATAAAATAATGCTGCATGGTCAGTATATTACCTTTTGAGCAAAATATCGGCTCTGCTGGAACTGGAAGTACTCAGGAGTACTCAGAAGTACTCCTTTACTTACTGCAGGCTTACATAAAAGTATACATACCAGTGAAAATTCTCTGGTCCAGGTAAATCTGCCAACGTTTTGACTCACCTTCTCATCAAATAGTTTGTCTTTGTTTCTATTATTGTAATAACAAAGATGGAAAAATGTGTTAAAATAATAATGATAATAAAGTGTGAACAAAGCAAAATATAACTATCTCATTTGGGTTTAGGGGGGGGGCAATTGAGGACGCCTTTCTTCTGATACAACACTCCATCTCTCCCCTTCTTGGTTAATGCCCTTTCATTGCCTGGAGATAGGCTTTGGGTAACTGTATTTAGAAGGCAAGAAACTGCACCAGTTAATGTTTGACCAGGCACACATGGTGGCTGAAGGGCATTCCGGGTGATTACCTCATGATACTGGTTGAGATAATGAGATAATTTAGATAAAGAGCTAATTTGATTGTGGATGGGGACAAGTGCTGGTAACAGCTGAAATTCTCTATAAAAGTATTAAGTCTCAGATTGATCAAACTTGTCCACCAGAGGGTGGCAAGAGACTTAATGTTTTTCTCTGTACTAGTTATGAATGTGCACGGGCGCCGTTGGGGGGGGGAGTTAGGATGATTCTAAGGGCCCACGAACTTTGGGGGCCCACAGAGACTAGCTTTGGGTGAGGTAGAGGGCCCAACTTCAAATTTTTTCATAGGGCCCAAAACTGCTAGCGGCGCCCCTGTGAATGTGCTAGTGGGAATCAATTACAAATTAACTTAATAAGATCTTAAAATGTAAGGAAACTTGACTGAATTTAATTTAAAAATGAAGTAATGGAATATTTTGGAACATGCAAAATGGTGTATTTAAAAGAGAATATCTATTTATCTATCTATTGCATTGTACTGACAGCTGTTGCTACTATTTTGTCCACTGATCTCAGAGATTAGGCCAAATAATAGAAACACAAAATACAGACTCACAGTAAATACCTTTGTTTTACAGTAATAAACGACTGCTAATATTGCCGGAGCATTTACGGTTGACATATATTTTACAGTATGCAGGTCTTATTCTGACCACAGGGGGGCGCTGCTGTGATGCAGTAGTCATCCTCAAAGTTCCTGTGAAGAACCCTGCCAGATTGTTGCTCACACATTGCAACATTTGTTTGGTTTTACAGTTGAAGAATCTTTATTAAGAGCAGATTGTTTAGTTTGAATGGAGTACAAGGTCGCTGTTTACTACTGATAACAGTGCCACATACAATTGTTTTGCATTGTTGTTTGGGTGGATTTTAATGACAGCCACTGTCCACTAGTATGTCTTACTGTCGCTTGAGCATTCAGATGAACAGGATGTGTAAATTAATCCACTAATCCCTCAACTGTCCTTTCATTACAGCGAGGACAACAGGTCCTTAACATGCACTTTGCGATTTGAAATGTCTTTTGTTCTTTCAGTGAGAGGCAGCAGTTTATTTAATCATCATTTAAGTGTTGTATTTTTACTATAAACTGGTAATTTCAGAAACTGCAGAAAATGGTTTTCTATGTTAACAGTATTTTCAACAGTCCCCAGACAGAGACTAAATCAACAAAACCAACAATGAATTGTCTCTACTCACTGTTAATGGCTGTCAGTCTGGCCTAGATTATCTTAATCGTCTGTGCCATAGACCTCCATTGTTGTTCAAAAATGAGTACAAACACATCACAGAAACACACCACTGCACTGGGTGACATGTTTCTTTATTACAAAACACCAGCCCATGATATTTGTTAAGAATATCCAGAGATCTTGTGCGTGGGTCCTTGACTCTTGCTTTCTTTAGATGATATAAAAGTTGATGACCATTTGGAGCCTTTGGGTCAGTATTTAAAAAGAACAACTGGGTCTTGTGTTTTGTAAAGAGGTGTGAGATGAACTGTTTCCCCCAAAAAGATATAATCTGATATGTCTGTACATAATGGCCTCTACTATAGCCATCCCAAAACATAACTGACTTTTTAGTGTAACAAATAGGCTACACCTTGTGTCGTCCATCTGTTGACGCTGGAACCTGTCTGCACCAACTCAGCTGTTCTCCCCCAGGAAACATTTTAACATCCCATGGGCATGTTAAGTCTTTTCAGGAGCCAATCACATCGCGCCTTTAACAGAGACGCGCCATGTAGTCTCTGCGCTCCGATCTCAACTCCAGTTGGACTAGTGTGGAGCTGCGACGCACTCACACACAAGACCAACTGCGACGCAACTCTGACTCGGAGACGGAGGGTGAGCAGCGGCAGAGAAACTTTCTGGATGTATGTTTTTGAAATCTGACTAATGCTTTCACCAGAAATTAAACTGGGAAGGGAGAAATAAATGGGAGAACTTGAATCGCTCCAGTCGTGTGCACGGTTCAGTTTCGCCAAGTTTGTGTTTTAGACCATCCGACCTGCTTCTGTCCGTGCGGGCGCAGTAGCAGCAGAGGAGGAGGCTGGATGTGGCAAGAGACGGGTCACTGAAGTGCTGTGCGCCGGGTGCGAGTCCCCCAGTCCCCAGCTCTCCAATGTCACAGGACAGGATGATGATCATTGGACTTCTGTTGAACGTCTTCTCTCATGGTAAACTGCACGTTTTGTCGTTTCTAACAGCTGGTGGTTGTCAGTAAGGTGTATCCATTTAGGCTGTTAAATCTGGACGTGTGAGGTTCAGATGCTCTTTTGGAAGATGACTTCCTGTCAACAAACTTGGACAACAAGGCATGTATGTCTGCCAGAGAATTTCATGCACGTCTGATGAATAGCCCTCGTTAGTCTATGTACAAAGCCCTCAGCCCAAATGCTCTAGAGGACACTGGATATCCGTTTATGTTGCTGATAATAACTTAATCATTTTTGTGAATTTACTACTTGCAGGGAACAATTGATTTATTTTGAAATAAAAAATGACAAACAAACTGATTTAATGTTTTAGTATTACAGAGATTTGCTTAAAATTTTGTATAATCTTATTTCTACAGTTGACATGACCCTCAAAATAACATTACAGAGGTTCATAACACTTCCCCATTCATTATATAAAAAGAAGCCATAGGTTTGACATCTAGATGACATTATGGGTTAAGTTGTTGTATTTGTGCCTTGGATTTGTTCCAAAGAGTGCTGGTCATCTGTCAAATACTGACTGGACTCTCAAAGATCATGGAAATGACACACAATGGTGTTCTCCCTTACATAAAAGCATCTGCAAATCAGTGACATCTTACACAAAATGTGCATTAACAGTTGATAAGATGGGGGATCGACCATGAAAGCAAAAAGCCATAACTACGTGGCAGTAACATAATACACCAGTTTTTAGCCTGAATGCTTTGTGGGTCTTTGTCCTTGCTGTTGATCCAACAGACAGAAGATGGTGAAAGAGATGGCCATGATATTTGACATTACAGATGAATTTAGATTCCTTTGCCGCCAAACACAAACAAGCTCCTGTAGAGTGAGTTGTAATCATTAGGATCAATAATAGGGACTGTGGGTGGGTAAGGAACTGTCCAATGGGGGATAAAGCTTGTTGATCTGTGGTTATTAATATTGAATTATGTCATTTTTGATCATGATCTTTTTTATTTAAATGTGGTTGCGTGTCATGTATCCTGATCCGCTGCTGACACAGACCATATAAAATACTCTCCATGTGAAACACAACTACCTCCTGCGCCCTTCTCTGCACATATACGTAACAAAAACAGTTGTTTTTTTTTTAGGATTATTTCAGTAGTACATCCAGGAAAATTCAGATATGTCAGTTTAGGCTGTCTATTAGAGATACAAAAAAAAAAAAGACAAATGCTTTGTTGTGAATGTCAAACCTTTCAGGGAGTCAGTAAATCATCCAGTGCATCAGATTCACCTGTCAGGCACTTTGGTGGAATCACATCAAGAAAAGCAATTATGTTCAAGTGCAATTTAATTGACATCTGAGTCATTACAAATGCAAATGAGTCTGTCACGATGTTGAATTCTGTCATTATAGCTAATTACAAAATGAGACATTACTGGATTTAAACTTTGTTAATTTGTATAATTAAAAGTGAAGTCTGTACCGAGCTCCCCAGACTTCTGTCTAGATCAGTTGTAGAGCTCCTTTGCTTCTGTATGGCAGCTTTCCAGCATAAAGAGTAGATTGTTATGTGCCTGTTTAATGGAAGTCCCTGTTTAGGTCTATAGGTAGTGTATAAATAGCCTCTCTGAACTGTGCTCCATTTCATGTGATGTTATTTTTGTCTTGTATATGTCTGACCTTACACAATTCCTTGACCTGAGCAATGGCAGGCGGAACTGTGGATGTAGACAACAGCCTTCCCTAAATGTCTGTCACTCCTCAAAGCTCTGGGCTATAACTCACCAGGGTCGTCATTGTTATCATACAGTATGCGCCTTCATAAGACTCAGACATGTAACAAAAATTCCCTGTGGAAAAAAAATCAGTTCTGCATCTACACCATGACCTTGAGTCTTATATCTGCTGCACATAAGAAAATACATTTTTATCATTTATTCACTGCTGTTTTCTCTGGTATACTGATTGTCACTGATTTGACCTCATACTCACATGACATATCAGTTTTTCTCTACCAGTTATGCTTATTGTTTGCATGTGTTGTCTGTATCTTTTTCTAAATTCATAGCAGCGTCCACACAGTATCTTTGCCCAGATAAAATAAATGGAAAGCTGGCTTCACCCCTTAAGCCCTATAGGCAAGTTTTTTGGAATTTCTGAACAAATATTTCACAAATTTAGTCGGCTCACACAACTGTAAGGCCAAAATGAACAACCTTGGGCTCAGTGGATATGTGACATTTGAGTGTATTTTTAATTGGAATTTGTCTCACCAGGCTAGAGTGAGATTTGAATACCATTTTAGTTTCATCAAAATTCTCTTTTAGAGTGAAAAACCAAATATTCCAAACTTAGTGACCTTCTCCAAATGGCAGTCGCAGGTCACACTTTAATAAGAGATACAGCCTGGTGCCACTACTGGGGTCAGTAGGACGGAAGGGGTTAAACCTGAATTTGACCTTTTGTGACAAGGCCTTGGTGGATTACTGCTTAAGTCCCAGTACAGACAGCAACTGGTGATTGAGTGTTGCTATTTTGCTGCTTCATTTAGCGGACGTGATTGAGCCATAACACGGTAGTCATAAATTGATTAGTGCTCGTTTTCAGTGTAAAGTTACACTGGTGGACTAAAGCTTGTGCTCTTTCTAATCAGGGTTCGACTATTTGATATACACATTGAGAGGTTTGATTGCCTTCACCTTGTGCACACAGATTTATTCAACTCTTGGACTCTTTATCTTTCCCACTGTGCCACAGACTCTTCTTTTTTCTCCCTTTCTGCTGAGGCATTGTCTTTATGCGCTCCCTGTCTGTAATTCAGTTTCGTTTGGGGCGACAGCACATAAATATTAAATTGGCCAAATGCCCGTTTAACATTACTGAGATAAAAACATAAAGTACACTCTCTGTATATGCAGTTCTTTCAAATATTTGATGTTTTACTTTAGAGAAATTATTTTAATTAAAATACATCAAGGATAACTTTAACTTAAAGTCTTTCATTCTTATCTACTCACTGTGAGGCTCACCACATAAAAACTGAAAATTCTTCAAGTGTTAATTTGTATCATTTATTTGCCGTTGCCTGTGTGGGCTCTGTATCTTGATTGTTACCCCAAAAACACACCTGATAGCACCAACAAAATTCCGCAGCCCGACAGAAACAGTCGCAATCTGTGTTGCTGTCTGGTCAAGAAATTGTTTGGCACATCGTAATTTAGGATTGCAACAGGCAGCAGATGCCTGAAAGCCAAAAGCCTGAAATATTCACCCAGCTCCAGACGCCACGATCAGCTAATGCGGCATCTGATGCAAGTATGCATTTTACCTGGGGTACAGAGGAGGAATGTTGCCTGTGTGATGTGGCTGCATCATTCGCTGGCACAGCTCATTAAATGAAATGTTATCCACACAATAGAAGTGCACACCAGTAGAGTTATCACCTTTGGATGCATGGACACTTGTCACATCTAGATTATGCTAAATAGGCATGATCATGTTTTTTTTTTGTTTTTTTTTGGCAATTTCTCAGTTATCTCTTTTGTTTTAGAAAAACTAAAACTGTTTTTAGTTCTACTCTATGCCACAACAGTGAGAAGAGTCACACCTTACCGAGTTGCTTATCCCTCACTGCAAGTGTGCATCCTGTTGAAGGCTGCATAGGACTGCACAGAATTCCAGGGCTGCAGTCATCTTTGTGGAGTGTGTGCATAAAGGCTGAATAAAGCAAGTGCACCTGTGCTTTCAACTTTTCAAAGTCTCAGGCAGAAAGAGATTCGGTCTTGTTAGACAGCACAAACTGAGGAGCAAACAATAGTGTAATTTTCCCCTGTGTACAAGGCAGTTTTTGGTTAGCAAGGTATCTCTCTCAGCCTGTTGTATAGTTGGAGTAAATACAATTGCAAGAGATTATGGATGATTTGGCCAAAAAAAAGGAGGCAGAGTTTGGAGAAAAAATAAAATCTGGCGAGAGCAGCATAATGGAAGGATTGAGAAGGAAGGAGCTGCAAAGATGAGAGAAATAAAGAGGGGGATTAATGCTCAGTATGGAAGTGCTCAGTGACAATATCTGTAAAAAAAGATGGATTTGGGGATAATTATAATACCCAGCAAAGTGGGAGAAATGTTATGAGCAACACAAATTTTTATGATGATGTGGGGAAATAACTAATTAATATCTATGACACATTGTTTGATAGTTGAAACCAATAGATATGAAAAAGCACATGTGAAAAAGTGCACAATTTAAAACTCAGCAGAAATGATTGTGTCAGCAAGGGCCTGCACAAGCTTTATCGGCACTGATGAAACAACTGAGGAAACCTCAGTCCACTGGCGTACCAGTACAGAACAAAGCAACAGATAGCAAGTGTGTTCCAGTATACTGGTCAATCAAAACCAGGAGTCAGAAACTGAAATGTTGTTAATCCAACTTTACTGTGTGAAATAAAGACATTTTTATTTTGGAATGAAGCAGGGCCAGTCACTTGGAGATTTTTGTTTTGTTTATTTTTAGGCTTGGACCCAATCCACTAGTTATTCATGTTTGCAAAGACCCCTCTTTGATCAGCCATCTGCTCTGTCCAGGTTAATTTGAATGTAGCATGTTGGCAGTAAATCATTATTACTTTTGACTTGTGCTCTATTGTCCTGCACCTTATGTGCTGCTATTACTAGTCTCATGATCTCTTAACCCTTGGATGCACAACCTACCAATACCTACACTCTTCCACGAGTGGGGTCAAAAATGACCCCAATTAAAATCAATGCGTTTTTGCAATAAACTAAAGACATTTCTCTCATTTTGGTTAAGATGATATATTTTGTTCAAACAAAAGAGTAATTTCATTTTTGACATGTACATTTTTTACTTTTCATTCACATTTTAGCACTTAATCAATCAATCAGGTCAATCAGGTGTCAAAACATGTTTATGTGTCCCTATGTCTGGAGGACGAACAAAGAACATTCAACAGGTCCGGAGACCATAACACTGCCCACG